AAAATCTGAACTTCCAATAAAAGGACATCAAATTTTGATCAGAGGCCAAACTATTTTATGTTGGAGGAGGGGGTGGAGGGCAATTCCAAAGATATTAAGGACAGTTCAGACGAAAACAAATTAAAACTTCTAACTCAAATATTGCACTGTTTCTTTCCATTAATAGCCCTTCTTTGGGGAAAAAAATACATAATTCAATGAGGGTCCAGTTCACACCAGCGCATGACGTCACACTTCACCCTTCATTAAATACAGTCTATGGATACTGGTAGTTATTTGGTGTGAACTATGTTTTTGTAGTTTTGCTGAGCCAAATTTTACAAAAAGAGGCCTATTTTAACTTAAAGTACTGGTCATACTAATATTAAAAGTAATTGTTAGAAAAGGGGCCTTAAGTCACTACTCTAAGTTTTAAAACACAACCTTGAAAATCACAACATCAAGCACATTTCAAAAATGAAGTAAAAAGAATTGGCAAACATATTGAATTCACCACTTAATGTTACCTGTACTCCTTTAGGAAAACCTCAATCATTAATGCATGCTGTCTCTTAAGATGAGGAGCTTGCAGTGTGGCCGCGATGCCTGTAAGACAGAAGGATTATATTACAGCAAGTGGATTTTTTTTGTTTAAATACTACGAATTGTGTATAGACAATATGGAAAATGGACGTTAATTGTTTTTAATCATGGACTCTATTATTGATTTTAAGAAAGAAAGAAAGAAAGAAAGAAAGAAAGAAAGAAAGAAAGAAAGAAACTCTACTGGGCATAATGCTTCACTAACTGCTTCTTGTGCCCCGTCATTGACTGATAGGCATATAGTCAATGCACAAAAAAAGGAATAGCTGGACAACCTAGCCTAGAAATGAAACAAAGCTGCAATGCACTTCTACCTCTTAAATAATCAGTTTCAGTTCACACTGCACCTGCTATAAGGAAGCCACTGTATCACAGTGTACATGGTATCCAGTAGTGAGCTGAGGCCGCATTTTGCACAATTTACACTTGTCTTGTAAATCTGTGTCTGCACAGTGTAGCAACTAATCCATCATTAACAGATACCCATGTGAAACATGGATTATGACGAATAGAACACCACACAATAATGGCAACTTGCCCAAAAACACATTAAGCCTGAAAGATTTTTTTTCCAAAGTATTTTTATCTATCTCCTCTATCCCTGTCCATAGATGCAAACCCATTCTAAAATTAGAATACACGTAAAATGTATGACACAAGGTGATGATAGTTACTGAGTGACATTGAGGCCTTCAGGCTTCCACTACACACTTAAAACTGCAACAAAGCAGCACTCAAGTATAAACAGAAAACCCCCTACACAAGATGACTTTTACAGCAAGAGAGATTATATGGTTAGACTACATGCACACTAATTAGCTGTCACTATAAAATTGTGTTTGAAAGGCAAACTTTTTCTGTCGAGACCAGCGTCTTAGCATAGTTTCAGAAACATCCTCGTCACAAAATAACACTTCTAGTAACACTATTACAACCCTTCACGTACAGGTGCAAACATGAAACAGATGCTTACTTGTAGAAAAACTCTGGAAGAACAGCAATGGTGAAAAGTAAGACCAGAGATTTCCTTAACTACTCAACAGCTGTTAGCAGTATAGACAAAGTCAGCAACGCCTGTAATTAATTATCTACATTTAAGTCACCACTAGTAGTCAAGGCTTATGTTGTTGTTTTTTTTCCCCCTTCTAGAAAACAGTCATGTGATAGTAGCGTGACAAATCAGAGAAGAACAGTTTAGATGCAGTCAGAAGGCTAACATGGCTGTCTGCGTTTCTGTTTCTTCTCACCACACAAAACCACAAATGCTAACTAGGTCTGCAACTTCCAAATCCTCTGTTTTGGGGTCCTAAAACTATGTAATAGTTTGGACATTAACTGTAAACTGCAACAGTTCATCACATTTTTACAGAGTTTATTAAATTCCTTCAGTCACCGCGTGAGCACACCTGTAAATGAGTCTGTGCCTGGAAGCAGACACATGAGAAACAAGTGTTGTTGTGCTGGGTTTGGAACAGTAACTTGGACAAAATATGCAATGTGAGGTTGTCACTTTGAACTCAAAAAAATCACAGCTAGGTCATTTTCCTGACATTGTGAGATTAAATGATTACTTTTCAAAAATCTGTATATTAAAATACTGGAGAGGTAGTTGTCAGCAAGAGACCTGCATCAGCCTACAGCTCTGTCAGCTGTCAAGCCTGTGGATGAGGAGGCCATGTTGAAAGAAAAAATGGCTGCCATAATTTTATGACTTATGTGAAGCAGCTACTTCCATTCAATAAAGCGTTATTTCTGAGAACATGTCGTCACAAAGACTTGGGCTGACCTAAATGATGCATGTGTATTACACACTCAATGGGAAAACACTTAGAATCCAAATGAATTTCAACTATACAGGCAGGAAGCCTACTAAGGCTTTTAAATGTGTCATAAAATAGACACATGAAGCTGAAACTGTCATTAAACTGACGAGGCTTTAGGTGAACACCTAGACTGTAGACAGGTAGGCTGCTCCAGGCCCACGCCATCTAGATGGGACAGATATAAATGAAGCTGGGGTATGACAGAAAAAGTTGCATCGTCTCAAAACTACAATTCCACATAAGCTCGGTAAGTTAACACGGCACAAGTCCACTACGACAGGAGGCACAACTGTGAAGCTCTACCTTTGGATTACAATTCGACATCTTAATTTTATTCACGTTTACTTTTCCGAGTGACTTGCTCCATAGTCGCTTAAGTTTAGGAAACGGGAGGGAACGCTGCATCAGTGGTAGAATGAAAGGCTGTGGACGGACACCGACAAAGAGTGTCCGCTGTCCGCTGATCAGCGCCGCTCGGAGCAGCCGTATGCGAGCCCTCCACTCTGTTAGTGTCTGTGGAGTTTAATAACCAGTCATTTTCCACCTAAATAAGCCCCCCACCCACGCGAAGATATTTAAAGTTATGGAAAATCAGTTATTCCTTACTATGAACTCGATGGAAGTTGAGGACGTGTCCCGTCAACGTCCGCCAACGTAAAAAGAAGGTGAGTGTGCAGGAAACACACAGCAGAAACATTTGCCTTCCTCCTCTCCTCTCTGTGGAACCACAGCGACGGCGGCCATGACAGTCCATCCGGGTACTGCTGCGCTCTTGACACTCATGGAGAAGCGGATGAATATGTATTGCTTGTCAAACTAGTGCCACAAGGGAGAGTTTCTGTCGTGGAAAATACCGCTCAAGCAACTTTTACTGAAGTCACAACAAACTGTGTTTTATGAGACGTCCTTAAGAAGCCGTCGGTGTTTTCGCAGCATGAGCCTCGTCATTCCTTGCCTGTGTTGCCTGTGTGTGTGTGTGTGTGTAGTAGTTGTTGTAGGTAGACGCAATGAGCAGCAATGGCGGATGCACGCCATTTCCTATTCACTGCCTTACATGTTCACCAAGATGCCTTTGTTGATCGCCATCATTGACTTCTGTCTACAAACCAAAATATTTAAATTCATCTCTTTCGCTTGTTCAAAACCCAGTTAAGTCCATCTTCTGTCTTTGTCTGTGCTTAGTTAAAAAAACATACACAATTTTTTTTAAATTTAAAAATTTTGAGTAAAACAAACAAACACAAGCAAAGCAGTAAAAAAAATATTAACTAGAAAACAGCTGTAAAAAAACAAATTGCAGTAACTATGTGTTAGTTCAATTCAATTCAATTTTATTTGTATAGTGCAGTTTACAGTACATGTTATCACACAGCGCTTAACAAAATAAGGTATAGACCTTACAAAAAGTTGAATGCTAATTGCAGCTGGTGCCACAGACTGGACTAAATAAAAGGTACCCTTTTTTCTCCATCCATCCATTTCTCCATCAGCTGTATCTGCTATATCCTGTAGAGTGGGAGGGGGCTGAACTGTAAACCAGCTGACACTGGGTGAGGGGGTGGGGGGTGGGGGGCTACATACTGGACTAACACATGACAAACAACCATGCACACTCATACTCACACCCACAACCAATTTAGAATCACCAATTTATCTACCATGCATGTATTTGGACTGTGGCAAGAAGCCAGAGCATCCGGAGAAAACACATGTAGACACAGTGAGACCATTCAAACTCCAGCCGACCAGCAGGTTCAAACAAAGAACCATGTTGCTGTGAGGTGAGAATGCTAACCACAGCCTCAAAGGAAAAGTCTAGGCTCTGTGACATCAGTACACTATGTGTTATTGCTGCCAACTTTCCCAGTACAGTGTTTCTATCTGACTAACTCTTTGCTAACAAAGTAATAATGAATTAAAACAGATCTGGATAAAGAAATCATAAATAAGGTGAAAAAATATAGAGAAGTCAGACATATACACACAATTGCTTGTGGTACCACTTTTCATAAAATTTCTTGAAGCATGGAAACTCATGTTACATCTTTCCCCCCAGTAATAGTATTATACACAAGTGGACAAAATTGTTGGTATCTCTCGGTTAATAATAGAAAAACCCACAATGGTCACAGAAATAACTTGAATCTGACAAAAGTAATAATATATAAAAAAATATATGAAAATAACCAATGAACATCAGACATTGCTTTTGAACCGTGGTTTAACAGAATTATTTTTAAAAAATAAACTCATGAAACTTGCCTGGACAAAAATGATGGTACCCTGAACTTAATATTTTGTTACACAACTTTTTGAGGCAATCACTGCAATCAAACGATTTCTATAACTGTCAATGAGACTTCTGCACCTCTCAGCAGATATTTTGGCCCACTCTTCATGAGCAGACAGCTCCAGTTGTCTAAGGCTTGAAGGGTGCCTTCTCCAGATGACATGTTTCAGCTCCTTCCACAGATGTTCAATAGGATTTAGATCAGGGCTCATTGAAGGCCACTTCAGAATAGTCCAATGTTGTCCTCTTAGCCATTCTTGAGTGTTTTTAGTTGTGTGTTTTGGGTCATTATCCTGTTGAAAGACCCATGACCTGCAACTGATACCAAGCTTTCTGACACTGGGCAGCACATTTCTCTCTGGAATATCTTGATAGTCTTGAGAGTTCATTGTACCCTGCACAGATTCAAAACACCCTGTGCCAAATGCAGCAAAGCAGCCCCAGAACAGAGCCTCCTCCGTGTTTCACAGTAGGGACAGTGTTCTTTTCTTGATATGCTTCATTTTTGCATCTGTGAACATAGAGCTGATGTGCCTTACCAAAAAGTTCCAGTTTTGTCTCATCTGTCCATAGGACATTCTCCTCTCCCAGAAGCTTTGTGGCCTGTCAACAGGCAGTTTGGCAAATTCCAGTCTGGCTTTTTTATTATTTGTTTTCAACAATGGTGTCCTCCTTGGTCGTCTCCCATGAAGTCCACTTTGGCTCAAACAACGACAGATGGTGCGATCTGACACTGATGTACCTTGACCTTGGAGTTCACCTTTAATGTCTTCAGAGGTTGTTCTGGGCTCTTTTGTTACCATTCGTATTATCTGTCTCTTCGATTTCTCACCAATTTTCCTCCTGCAGCCACGTCCAGGGAGGCTGGCTACAGTCCCATGGATCTTAAATTTCTGAATAGTATGTGCAACTGTAGTCACAGGAACATCAAGCTGCTTGGAGATGGTCTTATAGCCTTTACCTTTAACATGCTTGTCTATAATTTTCTTTCTAATCTCCTGAGACAACTTTGTCCTTCCTCTGGTCCATGTTTAGTGCGGTACACACTATGTCACCAAACAGCACAGTGTCTAATTTTAACCCTATAAATGGACCGATTGACTGATTACAAGTTTGTAGACACCTGTGATGCTAATTAGAGGACACACCTTGACTGAACATGTCCCTATGGTCACATTATTTTCAGTCTTTTTTAGGGGTACCATCATTTTTGTCCAGGCCTGTTTCATGAGGTTTTTTTTTTTTTTAATAATTCTGTTAAACCACAGTTAAAAAGCAATGTCTGATTTTCACTGTTTAATTTTCATTGAATTTTTTAAAATTTATTATTACTTTTGTCGGATTCAAGTTATTTCTGTGACCATTGTGGGTTTTTCTTTCATTTACCGAGGGGTACCAACAATTTTGTAAATCTTCCAGTTGGAACTGCTTTCAGAGTGGTTTCACCTGTCTTACCTGCTCAATGCATGTTCAAATATTGGCCATAAGTGCAATAAAAAAAATTTTGTATGTTGTATTGTTCTATCAAAGCAGGGTTTTACCATTGAAGACCATGTGCACACATCAGTGAGCCTACAACATTTCAGGACTCTAGCTACATTATTTCACAAGTTATGGCACTTCAAACATGGCTCCACATGTTGGCACAAAGAAAACGGCACAAAAATCAACATGACCCCACCCTTCTTTCAGAATGTTTAACTCAGGAACTAATGTTGACAATGACTCCAGATTTTACACACGGTCAACTCAATCAATATACACCGCTTTTAAAAAAATAATAATAAAAAATCTGTTAAATTGAAGATGTTTCAGCAATGGTTAGACAGGCAACTAGCTCTGAACTTTTGTCATGCAGGAGCAGGACACTGAACATTGTCAGGGACTCACACCCTCTTCATAAACTGTTTGAACTGCTGCCATCAGGCAAACGTTTCTGGAGCACAGAAGGAAGAACCTCCAGACTGCTGAACTGCTGATCAAGACATGCAAGCACTTCTTTATTTAATTGCTTTCAGTTTTTGGTTCCTGAAGAAACGCGCTCTCATCTTGTTTGTACTACTATTGTATGTACAGTAAAATAACAGTAAACTTGATATCATTAAGAGTTTGTTCTTCCGTGACCTCACACGTTGTGTGCAATCATAACCAATTTCCATGAAGATGTGTTGAAATTTCTCAAAATGGGTTGAAAATATTGAGAGCATAGAGAAGGCCGAAAAGATATGCCAGCACAGATAGAAGATCTGGGACATCCTCCAGGACAATGGTTTCCTCCAAAATCACGGCAATGGTCTGCACCACTGCAGATGAAGCTGTTGGAACACAGTCCTCCATAACAAAGAGTATGCCCACAGCCACTCCCCTGGTAGATTCATCTTCAGGATCAGACTCCTGTAAAACCAGAGCAGTGTTAAAAGGTGATTTGTAAGTCACATCCTTGACTAAGGTCAACTAAAGCAGAAGTTCCCAGACTAAGGGGCATGCAGGGGGATGCAATAATTTGTGAAGGGATTGCCCAGCCTTACCAGTACAAAGGTGAGTAATCCACAGTGTGTTGTGTCTTAGAATATGAGCTTCTGACAACATGATGCCAACAAATTGAAACACCACTTGGGCATTTCAGACTTTTATCAAATGGTGGCTCATAGGTCACATCTCACCCACCATGATCCAGCACACAAACTATTAAAAAATTAATTTAATGTGGAGAAGAAGAAAAATGTGTCATTGTAGTTATGATGTGTTGTATTTTTTTCTTCCTATAGTGAAATGTCCTTAAAAACAAATGATATTGGAGACATTTAGAGACATTTAGTGACTCAAATACACTGGATTATTATTAGCGAGTTTCAAACGCGACACTGCAGCTTTGTTACATTAATCACACACTGTAAAATAGAGTCAAAAGGAGTTAAATACAATTCATATTTGTTACAAACCGCAGTGTTTTGCTGTTATATTTCCAGAATTACAATTTTTTTTAACATCAGTTCTGAGCAAAACCTCCCCATTTTTGTCCTGAGATGGTGCATGTGTGGTGCGTTCATGTGCATCATGTAAACAACACTCTCGGGGGCATTCATCATCTCAGAAATTCAGGAATTTCTTCTAAACCAGCCACAAAGGTTGTTTAATTCAGTGAAGTTTGTTTTTCTTTTTGTTTTTTTTTCTTGATTGAATTTTATAGGCTATGACTGTCTGATTTCCTTCTGCTTTCCTGTTACTTTTGCAGTGAGTAATAGATGCAAAAATTATAATATTCTATTCATTTGTATATTGTATTATATATTGTATATGGGGCTGCAGGGTGGCGCAGTTGGTAGCACTGTTGCCTCGCAGCAAGAAGGTTGCCGGTT